TTGCTCAAAAATGGCAGCAATGACACAGGCCTATAATTTTTCATATCCTGAAAAATTTCATTTTTTTAACTGTTTGTCTGTGCATTGTTGTTGTTCCCTACCTCAAACCGTGGGGAGAGATGGGTAAAATATTATTATTATTATTATTATTATTATTATTATTATTATTATTATTATTATTATTATTATAGTTCATGGTTGGCTGGGGGCCACAGGAGTTGCAGATCAACCAGTATTTAGAAATGCAATATTTACAGATCACAGCCATACCCTTTCAGTGAAGCTGTGAGCTCCACCCAGGAATAGATAAACTAGCTACTGTTTCCTGGATAATCACTTAATTCCAAGATGAAAGATGGGTGAGTCAAGAACCCTTGATCACACCCCAGGCTGCGCCGTCTATAAACTGAATTATTCACTCAGAGTCTACCAAACTAGAGGTTGAACTGAGTTCAAGCCCAAGACAAAAAGGCATGTCCGCACAACAAGCCTAAACCAGTTTGACAGTCATTCTCTCCTCCCAGGGAACTGTAGGAACTCCAATGGAAGGATAGGCAGAGGAGGTAGTTGAGCATCTTATAGAATCATCCAAGTTGAAGGGCATCCCAAAGGCTATCCAGTCTAACCCTCGGCCATGTAAGAAGATATAAGAAAAGCACTCCAGAAAGATACCCATCCAATGGATAGTTCCATGCAAACCAACAAACTACACGTCTCAAGGTTCTCATGGGAATGGCACATTGTTTACTTGTGAAAGTTACTTGGGTATGCACCACCTATGAGAGCTAATGTGGCACAGTGGTTTGAGCATTGGACTAAGACTGGAAACCATAAAGCCCCATGAGGAATGACTTAGGGAGCTGAGTATGTTTAGCCTGGAGAAGAGATGGTTAAGAGGTGATATGATAGCCCTCTTTAAATATTTGAAGGGATGTCATATTGAGGATGGAGCAAACTTGTTTTCTGCTGCTCCAGAGAATAAGACACGGAACAATGGATGCAAACTACAGGAAAAGAGATTCCACCTCAACATTAGGGAGAACTTCCTGATGGTAAGAACTGTTTGACAATGGAACACACTCCCTCAGAAATTTTGGTGGAGTCTCCTTCTTTGGAGGTCTTTAAACAGAGGCTAGGTGGCCATCGGTCCCCAGGAGGACTTTGATGGTGTATTCCTGCATGGACTGCATGGCTTTTGGTGTCTCTTCCAACTCTATGATTCTATGAACACACATACACACACACACACTACATCTGCAAGACATCCTACCTGTGCCTCTGTTTTGACGCAGAGACTCTCGTAGACATCCTCGAAATGTTTTTCTGGAATGGGTGGAGGTTCTTCCTCCTCTTCTTCCATGCTTTTGTTATGGGACAAAGGCTGGGGCTGAGGCTGGGGAGATGCTTTGGGCCTCTTGCGCACTCGAGCATACAAGGTGCTCAGTCTCTTTTCTGCATCAAAAACCGGCTGGAGAGGAGCCACCATCTCAGACCCCATCTCCTGCGACTGGACAGGCAACTGATCCGACGGCACATTTGTCCCCGCTTGTAAGAGTGTGCCACTGAATTCTGCAGTCCTTGAATCCATCCCACTAGACCCCATAGACCCCACCAAGGATTCCTGCACCTTAGGACCCTTTGGGATCCTGCCACTTGGTCCATTAGGGTCCTTTGTTCCCACCAAGCGATCCCTGGAATATACGTCTGTTTCCTTCAAGCGGATGCTTTCGTAGACTTGGTTGTCCAAACTCTGATTCGGGGGCTCCATTCCGGATATATGGACCTCCTTTGGAGTCATGGGAAGCTTCCGCAACTGCACAGCATTTGGGGTTGTTATGTTGGAAGAATCTGATGTGTGGGAACCCGACCCTCTCAGGTGCTCCACTTCAAGCTTTGGGGACTTCTCCATCATTTGGTGGTTTCTGATGGCTACGCGCCGGTCCATGGCGGGATTTGCATTTCTGTGCTGGACTTCTGCAGCGACTCCATTCATGTTCCGTGGCTTCTTGTCTTGGTGATGGGGTGGAGCATTTCCTGTGGATAAGGAGAACATTTTTAGTCTTCCACACAACCTGCAACACCTCAATATGACTTTGACTATTCCATTCTACAGCATCTTGGGATTTTTCTGAAAGATCATACAACATTTCCCTACAGGAACCTGGTGGTGATATGTGCCTTCAAGTCATTTCTGACTTCTGCTGATTCTACGGTGATCCTATCCTGGGTTTTTCTTGGCAAGATTTGTTTAGCAGAGGTTTGCCATTGCCTTCCCCAAAGGCTGAGAGAGCGTGACTTTCCCAAGGTCACCTAGTGGGTTTCATGCCCAAGCTAGGACTCGAACCCTGGTCTCCAGAGTTGTAGTCCAATGCTCAAATCACTACTCCACACTGGTGGTGCTGACATGAATCTGCCAGGATCTTAAGATCCCTCTGGGGAAGACTTTCTCTCAGGCTGCATCCACACTGCAGAAATAATCTGGTTTGACACCACTTCAACTGCCCTGGCTCAATGCTATGGAATTCTGAGAACTGTACTTTGTTGTGGCACCAGAGCTCTGCTACAAACTACAATTCCCAAAATTCCATAGCATTGAGCCATGGCAGTTAAAGTGTCCAAACAGATTATTTCTGCCATGCGGATGCAGCCCTTGTCTCTGGAGTAGTAGAAAACACGCTTGCTCCTTCTTCAATATGACATCCCTTCATATACTTAAACATAGCTATCATGTACAGGGTGGCCAGATGTCCTCCTTTTTTAGGACAGGGTCCTACACTTCAACCTTCTGTCCAGGAAGAATGTCAAAATGTCCTCCACTTTGAGCATGAGCAAGAAGCATGAATTTACATTTACGTTGGTGTTTTTAGCTTTTTATTTGGTAACGTCCTCCATTTTTTTCTGGAAAGCCCTCCATTTCGTGGCCCCTTGTCCTCCTTTGCGGTTAGGACATCTGGTCACCTTGCTCCTGTCCCCTCTCAACCTTCTCTTCCCCAGACTAAACATCCCTAAGTCCCTCCTCGTACTTGGCTTGGAACTGACATGAACTTTATTGCTAAAAGCTATGAGCCGTCACAATTTCATATACCGTACTTAAATAATAGCCAAATAGCAGGATAACTTTAAAATTTGACATCAAATACAAAATAGAAACGA